TTCAGCAAAGGAAAGAGAAAATGTCCACTGAGACTTACAGTATAAACATCAACACCTAAATGGCAGGGACATACTGTATCCTGGACAAAGATTTTAAAGAGGAGATAAATTGGTATTTTTGACCATCATACCATCTGTGTGATATCAATAGACATCTAGAGTATAGTGAATGGAGTGATTGTATTACTAATTTAAAAAGGACACGTATTGATGTGTATGTGCCATTAATGTTGCCTACACTCAATTTTCAGAGGAGAGAGAAAGCAGATATACCTCTTAAAGAATTGTATCCTTCTGAGAGTTAAATATTAACGATAGTATCAATCAGGCACTAAAAGCCAATGGCTAATTGATTTAAACTTCATCTCTCGCACAAGATACAGAGGGAACTATTATCATTTAACTAGGTCAAGAACAAATATTCCCCACAATATAAATAATTATAACACCCTCCAGATTATAATGAAAGATCTATATATACACTGAATGCATTATATTCTACTCTCAAAATGTTGGAGAGCAATATACATTTGAATAGATACAAAGCAGGCCATATTTCCTGTATTGATCACATTACTATTCCAACATCCTGGGGAATGTTTGCAACCAGTAAAAGAGCCCTTAATGTCTCCCTGAGAACCACATATTACTAAATGGTTGACATGCACAAAAAAGATTGGATAACTACTTCCGATTATTCCAGCAGTATCCAAGTAAACTGTGCTAGAATTTAAGCAACCTCTAAGCATATTCAGATTTGTTGTTTGATACAATTACAATTTGAGGTACTCCGTTCTGCTGTTATACTACTTATAAAAGCTACATAAGCTTGCAATTCTACAATGTTTCTTTCAAGTTACATCATGGTGATTTAGATGCTTCTATTCGTTTCCACTGTATCTAACCACGTCTAAGGCATGCCTAATCAAATGTTCCAATCAGACACCACACATCCAACTACCCACTGCTCTGGAACTCAGTTCTCATTGGTAAATACTGTATGTCAACATAGAATATTCAATTTGTTTATATTTGTCCACAGAATACATTAGCGCCGTGGTGCCGTCTAGTTCCTGTGACTGAGAGTCCCTAGCATACTGTTACACAAGCTGCTAGAATATTGACAGAAACTGACATCCGCTGACATGACAATCTATCATTTAATCCTCAACACATTGTGACGGATGGCAGGAGAAAGAGCAAGCTCAATTTGTCTGAAGGAATGGATACTGAAAATGTTATAGATAAAATTGCTAACTATTACTTATAATGACAGGTGCTTAGCAAGATAAATAATAGGGAGAAAACATGCAGTTATATACATCAATTCTAAAATAATTACAACCTAATTAACGTGACTACACAAACTGTCAAAATAAATGTATGGTTGGATGTAGCAGAAAATTACACAATGCAATCTTCCTGTTTATTATTGGTCAAGTGCTTTCCATAACAAATGTCCATTAGGGACAAAGGATGTGTCAGAGTGCTCATTATCCCTGGGCTTGTCTCAGAGATGCCGGTAGAAACCCCCCCCCCCGACCACATCAACCTGGATTACACTCTTGAGACTGCTTGTCCTAAGAGATTACAAAATGTTTGGAATTATACAGTCTCATTAAATTGAGGACGATGGTAGCTGAGCTGCTGGAATTCATTATATTTATGCCTCAGTCATGGTTATGCAGTGTTACTTTAAACCTGCAAGCTCACACCATTTTGCAGAGGGTAAACATGGTCCTCTCTTTGCCCTTTTATGTTTGATGCATAATTGTCAATGGACCACAGGTAAATTTGGCACGGCAGTGACTCTGAATAAATTCACAATTCACAGCTTCAACGTTTTGTAAAAATAGGCAGCAAGACAATATGCCTACAATCAGTAGCCTTGCAATCCCATTCATTTTGCACCAAGGGCTTTCCCTCTGCACTGCACATACATGAAGAGGCATAGTCAGCCTTCACATCACGATGTGGAACCTGTGTAGGTTGGCACTGAGGGTTGCAACAGCTCTCTTTCTTTCCACTGCCCTCTCAACACTGACTGTGGAGAGACAAGTGAGCCCTTCTCCTTTCCTCAGCCATCCTCTTACCCAAAAAGCCACTAAAAAAATTAAGTATTTGAACTTCACTCTATAGTCGCCAAGGCATGTGGAAAGCCTCTCTCCACCACTACCACCTTCACCCCTCAGACAACAGACAAAATGGCATCCAGGACAAGCTGTAGTGTTGGCTGCATTTTGTGCACTAATGAGAACATCTGTGTGGTACCTGCCAGACTTAGCAACTGTCTCCTAGCGAAGGTGGCGGGCGGTGTGGCAGGCAGCTGTCGTTGTAAAAGTGGCAGTTTACACTGGCACGGAGGTTACATCAGCGTGGCACTAAAATAACTCTGCAGTCTGAAGGGGAATGAATACATTCTCACTGCACTTTTTATTTTTTTTATCTCCAGAACTTAACTGGTCTCTGAAGTTCCCGGTCTGTGTCATATGTATTTGTTTGGAATTTAATCTTATAGAAAAACAACATCAGAGGTGATTGACCTCACTACTTGATTTAGTAGTGAGGTGGTAAATGTGTTGTAAAAGGTGATCTGTAGGTTGACGGTTCAATGTATGTGAGGCTTACTATACTAGAGGGTAATGTAGTACCCTGGAGAAATGTGTTTAACCTTAATTGCTTCAGTTAATGTCATGTTGTCCTAGATAAGGTTGTCTGACGGAAACATTTTACAAGATCAAATGGAACAATGCTCCCCCCTATTGGACATTACAATATTTTCACAAAGTCTGAGTAACATATTTGATGCAGAATGTATACAGGATTGTATTGTGTAGCATGAGAATTATAAGCAAGAAACATGAATTTGTCAAACCATAACAATTTATTGGTGACAGTGTCTCCTGTCTACATTGTGCATTCGGAAAGTATTCAGACACCTTGACGTTTTCCACATTTTGTTATGTTACAGCCTTAACCTAAAATTGATTAAATTCATCAGCAATCTACACACAATACCCCATAATGACAAAGCGAAAACAGGTTTTTAGAAATGCTTGCAAATGTATTAAAATAAAATAAAACAGAAATACCTTATTTACATAACTATTCAGACCCTCTGCTATGAGAGTCGAAATTGAGCTCAGGTGCATCCTGTTTCCATTGATCATCCTTGAGATGTTTCTACAACTTGATTGGAGTCCACCGGTGGTAAATTCAATTGATTGGACATGATTTGGAAAGGCACACACACCTATAAGGTGGACTCCAATAAATATATAAGGTTCCACAGTTGACTGTGCCTGTCAGAGCAAAAACCAAGCCATGAGGTCAAAGGAATTGTCCGTAGAGCTCAGAGACAGGATTGTGTCGAGGCACAGATCTGGGGAAGGGTACCAAAAAATGTCAGCAGCATTAAAGGTCCCCAAGAACACAGTGGCCTCCATCATTCTTAAATGGAAGAAGTTTGGAACCACCAAGACACTTCCTAGAGCTGGCCGCCCGGCCAAACTGAGCAATCGGGAGAGAAGGGCCTTGGTCAGGGAGATAACCAAGAACCTGATGGTCACTCTGACAGAGCTCCAGAGTTCTTCTGTGGAGATGGGAGAACCTTCCAGAAGGACAACCATCTCTGCAGCACTCCACCAATCAGGCCTTTATGGTAGAGTGGCCAGACGGAAGCCACTCCTCAGTAAAAGGCACATGACAACCTGCTTGGAGTTTGTCAAAAGGCACCTAAAGACTATCAGACCATGTGAAACAAGATTCTCTGGTCTGATGAAACCAAGATTAAACTCTTTGGCATGAATGCCAAGCGTCACGTCTGGAGGAAACCTGGCACCATCACTACGGTGAAGCATGGTGGTGGAAGCATCAAGCTGTGGGGATGTTTTTTCAGCGGCAGGGACTGGGAGACTAGTCAGGATCGAGGGAAAGATGATCGGAGCAAAGTACAGAGAGATCCTTGATGAAAACCTGCTCCAGAGCGCTCAGGACCTCAGACTGGGGCGAAGGTTCACCTTCCAACAGGACAACGACCCTAAGCACACAGCCAAGACAACAGGACAAGTCTCTGAATGTCCTTGAGTGGCCCTGCCAGAGCCTGGACTTGAACCCGATCGACCATCTCTGGAGAAACCTGAAAATAGCTGTGCAGCAACGCTCCCCATCCAACCTGATAGATCTTGAGAGGATCTGCAGAGAAGAATGGGAGAAACTCCCCAAATACAGGTGTGCCAAGCTTATAGCGTCATACCCAAGAAGACTCAAGGCTGTAATCGCAGCCAAAGGTGCTTCAACAAAGTACTGAGCAAAGGGTCTGAATAATTACGTAATTGTAATATTTCCGTTTTTGTTTTAATAATTTAAATATAAATTAGCATCATTATGGGGTATTGTGTGTCGATCGATGAGGGGAAAAAAACGATTTAATACATTTTAGAACAAGGCTGTAAACTAACAAAATGTGGAAAAAGTCAAGGGGTCTGAATACTTTCCAAAGGCACTGTATAATATGTCACTTTCAGGACTGTAGTTTGGCTAGCAGAGGAGCTGCCCCTGAGAACAACTACAAGCTGGCAAAAAAGCGCAACTTTAGAAATGGAGCCAAATGGAAATGTCTTCAACCAGAACCTGGATCCAAGTGGAAACATCAATATGTGAGTAAGTTTTAGCTTCAGGACAATGGTGTAAACTGGGTTTAAGTTGTGGTGACGCGGAAACGACAATCCCAGCTCTGACACCACAGTTTTTCCCCACACGGCCGACACACAATTTATACTGGAGCTATTAATGGTCATCCACGACTCGCACAAACCAGCATGTTCAGCAACAATATTCTCTAGGAGAATCGGATAGAAGCGCATCCGAATTCTGCTCCGAATTCTAGTTCACATATATAAGTCACGGTACTTAGTTGTCCCACATCTCCCCAATGTAAACCCACCTTTAATATGAGTCAGAGTCTCAGCTTTAGGACAAAAGTGTAGCAGCAACAATGTCTATTTCTCCTGGTTCCCTTCACTGCCTGCTGGCCAGTTGACAGAGATGTGGTAGGGTTTCAGCTCATTTTCAGAGACAAAATCTAGGGCATGAATCATCAGGTCATGGTCCCTGAATGATTTGGGGAAGGCAATCACGGCCCTGATGCTGGGGGCTCCGACTAGAATGAATACTAGGCGGTGCAAACCTAGAGAGAAAGTGAACAGGGGAATGAACAGGGGAATTAAATGATGACTCACAAATGATGCATCACGCTTGGCTGCAGGAAGACAAGGGGCCTGGTCTACTAAGTTCTACTAAGTCTACTACTTAGCATCTGTAGAACAAATGGTGAAATATCAAAGCATGAGAAACACAGCTGGGTTTGATGGTTATTATGGCTGATTTACCCAATGTAATCCCACCATGAGGGGGAGCCCCAGAGTCCCGTGCCTCTAGCAGGTGAGAGAGGAGAGATGGATTCTTTTGGAAGACAGAACAAACCAGTCAGGGCCCGGTTTCCCAAAAGTATCTTAAAGAGATACTACTCATGGATACCATTTTTGTCTCTGCATCCAGTATGAATGAAGATAAAGGTAGTTTTGTGAGCCAATGCTAACTAGTCTATGGTAGGCTTATCGGGCAGAATTATATAATTATTTGTATCACTCAGTTGGCCTTTTGTTTTGCAAACTATGTCATGACATACACAGCAGCAAAAACATAGCTAGACCAGCACATTCCTCTCTCGCAAAATGCGCAATGAAAGGGGTATTACACTCAAATCATCAATCTTTTTTTTTTTTTCAGCCCTCAAAAATGGTCTTCTGATGTGATTTAAGCATTGACATGGGCTCAGAACATCAAAGTCATTGTTTCTCTATGAATAATTGTAAGTTTGAGTGTGTAAAACCGAGAAAACGGAATTCGGGAAAATACAAAGAGTGACTATTTGAAAGCTAGGAAATAATTAAGGAGTAACTCGCGACAATTTAAAAGTAGCTCTCATGCTAGAAAAGGTTGGAGACACCTGTTATAGGGTAAGCATTAGAACAAGCCACCTCAATATTTGCAGCCAGAAGGTAATATCTCTCTAGGAGTTGATCCGTTGTCAGTATTCTAATGTTAAGGTAAGATTTGAATGGAGAAATCTGATCAGAGCAGTGGTGCTCTACAGAGGAATTCACTTAAGGCCAAGACACACCATTACAAAAGTTGGCCATGCGCAGCAGATAACCTGCTGGGTGTTGACGAACGGTGACGAATCAACATGTAGAATTCAGGAAATGAACAGAAAATTACGCCTGATGTTCAGTTGTCAGAGGCGATAGGGTGGCCACTGTTGCTTTTAACCGTTCGTTGGCACAGTCCGTTTAGTCCTCAAGTCTGGCTTATTCTATTCATCACTGCGCTGGAAGGCTAATGACAGTAGAATCTAGTATATAGCTACAGTAGCGAATACTGTCTTATTACCAGTGATAATAAATATTACCTTCCAACAAGTTAGGAGAACGTGCAGCTCAGAAACTTTCAGATAAAGAGGGAGCAATGAGCGATGTGATTACCGATCCTAATCAATTGTTTATTTTGAGAGGCTGTAATTGCGGTACTAATGGTATTTGTGCTTGCATATCCTCCTCAGCCTGATAGAAATGACTGTTTGGGAAATCAGCATTCTGGTGCTCTTACTTATCCAGTCCAAGTTCATTACCTTGAGAATCGTCTCCAGGACATGCTGCTGCTCTGAGGCCTTGTGAATAAGAATGGATCCTCCCCCGATCTGACACCCGTTCAGGACCAGGTCATAATGCTGGCCACGTACCAGCCATAATGACACAGGAGGAATAGATGAATGATACAGACACAGACATACGGTCTCAGTGTAGGCCATTACAGGATGCTCTCTGATGTAAAGTTTATTTATACTGACTTATGGGATACTGTTGTGACGATACAAATTAAATATACTTGGCTATGAATTTTCCTTGAATATATAGTTTGGTTTGCTAAACTTCTTGTTTGGACTACATCCTGTTTGAAAATAGCAGTGACAGCAATGTTACACAGACACAGTACTCAGTGGGGGTCGTTCCACCTGAAAAAGCACAAGAAACAGGATTTGGATGTGAAGCACGAAAATGCTAATATAGGTAACATTGACTTGCATTGGATTTGTGCCACAAATGCCAAATAGTTAGCATTTGAAACCGTGGCCAGGTAGACAAAATCAAAGCATGGATTGCTGTCATACCTTGTCCATAAACTGCTTACAGGCTAAGGAAACCAAGATGTAATTTTGTAATTTGGGCGAACTAACCCTTTAACATTGAGGGGGGCGGGGGGTCTTTAAAAAATAAATCACCTGGAACAGCACCATCTAGTCGTCAGAACCTGGAAATATCAGGATGTAGGATAGGACATAACCCTAACAACTTCAATGAGTAATTTCTTTGAACAGTGGGGAAAAAACATCACCAAATTCACTGAGAATACATTACATAGGATGAAGAAACAATACTGCGAGCCGCAGCTCCATACTACTTGTCAGACAGAGAACTGATACTGTATACTCGTTGTTAGGGTGGGATTGGTGTGGGGTGTGGGAGGTCCGTGGGTGGCTTTTGACAATTCCTCTGGATTCCTTATGTCCTACTCATTGTTAGAAAAAAAATTGTTCCAAATTGGATGTTAGGTACTATATTTATTGAATATTATGTGAATCCTATAAATTAAAATGGCCAATTTGGGTGCAATCAATTAGCTTAATTTCTCAACGATCAAATGTATATTTCAACAAAATAATGTTGCAGGAATGCTAATCTTATCTGTTTTCTAACTACAGAAATGATTTCAGAACAATCTGAGATGGTGGGTGTCATGGCTTGCTGCAATGACATGGAACAACCCCAGTACATTTCTAAGAGTTTTCTATTTGTACAAAACAGCAAGCAAGGGCACAGAAACAAGCTTCATAAGGTCAGTCAACACTGTTGAGAAGGTTTCGTCTCTCTATAAATATGTGCCCAAGGAGACACTGTGAGGCTGGGAGTAGAGGAGGTGGGTATCCTCAGGGAGAGGTGCGGTGAATGGAGGGTGAGCTGAATCAAGCTGCCCAGGGTCCTGTTCTTTTGGCAGGAACAGTGGGAAGTCTACCACCCACAGGAAGTGAAATGCTGAGGGGTTTCGAACAGCCATACCTGGGCACTCTAGGAGTTCAGCACACTGAAGTCTCAACTTGCCCAACAAAGAGCGCTGTGGGAGTGAATCATGGAAATCAGGAAAACAAAAGTAAAAGATTGTTTCTTTTCAGAATGCAACAGCCTTCACTGTTTGGTCACAAAATGATCTTTGACGCCTGACAATTGACTATTGCGAGGGTGGATTGTTCTCTTTCTTCTATTCTGACATTTTATTACAATTGCTTCCACATCCTTTAGGACAAAAGTACACTATTGATCCACAGCTTTATGAAAGGCCTTTTCTTTTTAACAAAACAGCCATCATTTTTGGTGCACCAGAGCCAATTACGTGTTTGAGAAAAATAAAACATTGCTTTTAATTCAAAAGATAAAACAGCAACTCAAACCTTGAAGTGTGTTGTGTGTATGAATTATACTGTGTAGTTCATATCAAAGCAGCCACTTTGACCACCACATCACTCATTTTGACTAAAAGGGTTATCTTTAATGGGGTGAGGTATGCAGAAGGACAGGGTCTGTGTCCGATATTGCACCATATTCCCTACCTAGTGCACTACTTTTGACCAGGGGGCCTGGTCAAAAGTAGTGCACTATATAGGCAATAGGGTGTCATTTGGGACGCGGTCAGGGTGACCAGATCAGAGTGTAACTCACCACACATTTCTGCATACCAGCAGAGAAGAGCAGCAGGTCCCCAGGTCTGGCCTGGGCCATCTGGAGCAGACTTCAATGCACCATCTGCCTTTACCAAAACTACATTCACTTCCTAGGAGGGATGGACAAAATACACCACAACAAAAAACACCAGGCTTATTTGATATTCCTCTGAAGCAGCTAGCCCCTGGGCAGGGCGCCGACATACTTGAATGCCCAGGAGTCATCGGTTTTCATCTCTCTCTAACCATGAACTGCTGAACCCAATAAATAATTAGTCTAAATGGAGTCACAAATTAGCTGTGCATTTACCAATAATCTCACTTCGTTATAAAGGGGGTCCTATAAGATGTACAGGATTGCACCACTCTAGGATTGGTGAGGTCTACCCTTGCCTCAGGGCAAGTATGCTATGTCTTTCGTTCAACATTTTCTTCACAATAATCTTGGTTTATTGATCATATTCCAGATTCATATTTCATGAATATTGTCTGTTCTCTTTTGCTGAGTGTACTGTAAAAGCAGCAGGGTTTTTTAAAACGAGGTAAACATACCTGGCAGAACTGGGTCCTGGCAGTTTGTTTTAGGGATTCCTGATCCTTGCCCTTCAAATGTTTCTGTAGTGAAATAAAGTATGTTCTAATACACTGAGAGTAAAAAACATTAAGAACACCTTCCTAATAATGAGTTGCACCCCATTTTGCCCTCAGAATAGCCTCAATTCGTCAGGGAATGGACTCTACAAGGTGTTGAAAGCATTCCACAGGGATGCTGGCCCATGTTGAATCTAATGCTTCCCACAGTTGTGTCAAGTTGGCTGGATGTCCTTTGGGTGGTGGACCATTCTTGATACACACGGGAAACAGTTGAGTGAAAAACCCAGCAGCGTTGCAGTTCTTGATACAAACCAGTGTGGCTGGCACATACTACCATACCCCGTTCAAAGGCGCTTAAATCTTTTGTCTTGCCCAATCACCCTCTGAATGGCACACATACACAATCCATGTCTCAATTGTCTCAAGGCTTAAAAAGTATTATTTAACCTGTCTCCTCCCCTTCATCTATACTGATTTGAAGTGGATTTAACAAGTGACATCAATAAGGGATTATAGCTTTCACCAGGTCAGTATGTCATGGAAAGAGCAGGTGTCTAATGTTTTGTACACTCAGTGTATATCATCATAACAAACTTAGACAATCTTTATTTGACACACAAATCTTAACAAAAGTAATAGGTTACTAGAACCTACCAGAACAGTCTACTAGAATCCTATCTCAAATCTTGTGTTTGCGAGAAAAATATAGGTTTTTGTTTAACTGTACTTACTGCTCCATCCGGGACTAAATATTTCCTGGAAACAAACTTCTGGTTGGTTGAGGGCCTCTTTCAGGAACTCTATTTCTGTGTTGGGAAATGTTTCACTGATGTCCATGAGCGATACAAGTACAGTAAGAAACTTAAGAAACTGAAGCAGGATTTTATATTTTCTTCCTTCACTATAAGACTGTAGCATTTAAAAATACCCCCCCAACCCCCAAAATATTAAATCATATTTAAGTATTTTGAGCAAACCATGGCAAATCGTGTGTCTGGCATGTCCACTCCATAGTCCTTCATACATCATGCAGGTGAAGGGTGTGGAAACAGGACCTTTCTCCACAGGCCAGGAGTACTGGACCAAGCCCTCAGATTCCAGCTTGATCCACAAATTACATTTCAATGTCCACCTAGGGAGGATAGATAAGAGGCATTATAGAGTATTGAGGGCAGAATTAAACTTGAATTATATGTGTGTGTATATGTGTGTGTGTATATGTGTGTGTGTTGCCAGCAAAGATCTTTAACAGAGTGGGTTAACCACATTAGGAACCCCATTAAAGCTGTTCGACGCTCATCTGCCAAAGTTTTTCTACTGTATCTGCCCTCAGAAGTAGTTGATCAAGTCTCTTCATAGAGCTAATCCCCACATTACCTGGGTGAATTCTGTCTGTCTGTCTGGTTTGGAACCTTCATGTCTTTAGCACCGGGCCAGTTGAAAGTACCTGCCAGATAAAAAATGGACATCAGAGAGTTCCAATTCGAATGCCAATTTTCATGTTTAAAAATATTCTCAAAACCTCTGAACTAGGCAGGCACATCAAAAGGCAGGGTTGCACCTGTGCATAGATTTATCCAACTTATTTCTTCCTTCCTCCCACATTCACTTTAAGAGTAAATGTAAATCAGTTTCCCTACAGAAGTTGTTTAAGTAAGAAACAATGGACACAGGGCATCAACTGTAACAATGCCTTGGTGATTCAATATAACGAATCCATGTTGTTTACCTGGCAATGCCAGCCACCATGTGAAAGCTGTTTAAATTGCAGAGGACTGAGGCAGGGAGTAACATCGACCAGGTTCTCGAGGTTACCACAAACTCCTTTGCACCCTGGAAAATACATAAACATGAGGGGAGGACTGGCTCCTCACTGCTCTATAAATAATTTAATAGAGGAGCTACGAGACTATAATACACATAATTTATCCAAAATTGTGTTTGGAGAAAGTAAAATGTTGTGTGAAGTGCACCTACCCCTGGAGTCCTCTTAAATAAGGTGGGTGTTTCAATGTCCACAAACCCTAGAATGGAAACAAAAATAATGCAACACAAATGCACTACAATACAGTAGGATAGGAACTGGAGAGGTAACTCAAGGACACGTACCATGCACATTGCAGAGGTACTCTCTCATCTTCATCACTAGCTGGGACCTCAGCCTCAGGTTATACTGCACGAACGAAGGTCCAGATACCAATATTGCATCCGAAAGGATTCAGATTTCTGTAAACACAGAGTAAAGCTCATCAATACTAAAATAGTATTGATAACAATAAATATGTTTTTATGTGTCTGATGTTATTATGCATAAATAATGTAAGCGTAATCATATACTCACTTTCATAAAATCTTTGATTTCAAAGGGCAGCGTTCGGCAGACATTTAGAATCTCCACACTCTCAGCAAGAACCTCAACCTCTCCTGTGGGCATCTCCTACAATTTACAAAATGGCGACACAATCAGAAGGGAGTCATTCACATGAACACTGATGGAGAATATTACTGCCACTTGTCTTGTCACCACAGTCTCACCTTGTTATCTTGTCCATCTGGTCGACGCTTGGCCGTGCCTTTCACCCTGATCACTGATTCAGGGGGTAAATCACACAGGGCTTTTTTCAGATAAATTTTGGCCAAGACCGAGAGACAAATGACAAATAAATATATAGTCAAGTTAAAATATATTACATTGGAATTTGATTACCAGAAATATAAGATAGTTACAGTAGTGTTTTTGGAATAATGAATGAAATGGTAAAACAGTCTTACCATGTCTTAACATTTTTACATTTTAGTCATTTAGCAGACGCTCTTATCCAGAGCGACTTACAGTTAGTGAGTGCATACATTTTCATACTGGCCCCCCGTGGGAATCGAACCCACAACCCTGGCGTTGCAAGCACCATGCTCTACCAACTGAGCTACACGGGGCCTTAAGAGATAAGAATTTGTGCCAAGCCGCTTAAAATCGCTCAGGATAACAAATAAATCCTGTCTGATTGGCGCAAAACAATATGTTATCACGTCAGCACAATGCATTTCTTCCCATTTGAAGGCTACTTTAAATATGAATATAAAACAGTATGTTAGTGATTGAAACATGTCAAACCTCAGGTACTGAACCCAGCCAGAGTGACTTCCTCTCCAACATGGGCAGGCCGTAGCTCCCCCCCCAAGTGTGACTCTGAAGGAACAAGCTGCTAGATCCTGGAGAGACAAAGTTAGTGTTATGCTTGCTCTATATTAAGCATAGGCATCATTATTCCATTGAGGAGTGTTCTTCAATCCTGGTCCTGAACGCCCACATGAAATAACTATTTTGTTCCAGCCCAGTAGTAACAAACCTGATTCAGCTATTCATGAGCTTCATGAGTAGTTGACACTTGACATATTAATGCTGGGGCAAAACCCTGCACACATGATCTGAATTCCAGAACAGCAGTGGTCACCAACCCCAGTCCTGGAGAATGATGTGGTGTTACATAGTTCTTGAGTATGTGAATCAGGTGTTAGTGTTGGACTAAAACAAAGGCCTGCACACAACCTCTGGGTCTCCAAGACCAGAATTAATTACCTGACATTATGGCAAGTAATATAGGCTACCTGTCGTGCACTTTGAGAGTTTGTTAACATTGAGAGAACACTTCAAATGCCTAATGCAGTGTTTGATTAGATGTCATTGGCTTGCAATCGTAATTGTTGCCATTCGCCATAGTGAATACGCCCTGGTCTCCTGTCTACACAGGATAAGAATCCTCTGTGCCAATGCTCTGCTTTTATTGGCCATTTCAGATACTTACTAGCAGTGCTGCCAACTTAGCGACTTTGTTGCTATATTTAGCGAGTATTCAGACCCCTCTAGCGACATATTTTCAAAAAATCGACTAGCGACAAATCTAGCAACTTTTTCTGGTGTTATTGGAGACTTTGAGACTCTGACGTGAAAGCACGTATCGTTCTTACTCTTCTCAACGAGCAGCGGGTGCTGCCGTGGGCCCCACCCCAGTGCCAAAGCACTCACAGGCAGCCCAGTCCTCGCACAGCAGTCCCTCCCAGCTGCAGTCAGAGCAGGAGATGTTCACTCCTCCGCGTCCAGACTGCAAATGAATCGTGCATGCGGGAAGCCGCCGCTGGCTGATCCCGCCCTGGCTTACATTCAGGGCGGGATGTAAATGTAAAATATTCTTTGTCTAAAATAAATCACTGCACAAAAATAAATCACTGCATTTGACTCACACAGCCTCAGTCACTTACTCACCTCGTCCACTGTGTGTGTGCGCCTCTGTGACATAAGCTAAACATCTAGCTGGCTAGTTCATCATGTCTCAGTCTAAACTGTACACAAAAAAATACAGAAAGGAGTGGGAATCAAACCCTGAATTCAAAGTGTCAAATTGCGTCAATTCGAATCTGGTATAAGGAACAAAAGAGGTGAATACACGTCTTCTAAGATAGACTAGTATTTTAATTAATGCAAACACTTGAATGGTAAATATGATGTTCGTATATACTGGCCCACTGAAACACCACGCAGGGCAGTCAGAGAACTAACTTTTTCAACCCAAGGTTCTTCTTTAATACTCTGACAGAGATAGTTCCCGCTCCCTGCTGGGCCTGTCAGAATAGAGGCTGGGTGTGGTTTAAACTTACCCAACCTATCGTTGGCGCTCAGGCTGGTCCCAGCCCCTTGGCGCTTCACTGTTGCCGGGCATTAGTTGTTTTCTTTACAACTTGTCTCGAGTCAGCAACCTCAGACATAGTTTGTTCTTCTTCATTGTAGCAGAACACATGTCCTTGAGCGGTTTAACAAAGAGGCAGTGTGTGTGTGTGTATCTCAGTCTATCTCAGCCTACCCCCTAACGGTTCCTCACATTAATCACAGCTTGTTATGTTAAACAATCTATATCAGTACAGCACAAACCTATTATGTTTAATCATTAATGTATTCTTTCTAAGCTAGGCATCACATCTAGTTGTAAGAAAATAGATCCCCACAAAAGGCTGGTTGAAGCCGTTTATTGGAGATGATACACGGGCATACTGCCTGTATTGTAAGGCTGATTTCTACGCCAAACTTAGTGATGTAAAAAAACATGACAATTCAAAAACATACTCAAAAGGCAAAGCCATATAACAGTTCCACCCAAAACAAGCTGCCATTTATGGTTTAAAAAATGTACTCTGCAAAAAAGGCTGAGGCCACCATGGCATTAGCTATCGCTGAACACTGTTCCATGCTGGCATGTGATCACATTGGAGAAGCATGTAGAGCTGCTTTCTCAGACTCCACTGCTGCTACCCACTTAAAAATGCACAGGACAAAGTGCACAGAAATTATTAATTGTGTTCTAGCACCATACTTTCTGAAAAGGTTGGTCGCAGATGTGGGTGCCCAGCGTTTCAGCCTCCTCCTCGATGAGTTCACGGATGTAAGTGTTTCTAAGTACCTGGGTGTTGTGATAAGGTACTTTAGTGACACCAAGCAGACAATTGTATCAACATTTCTGGGGCTTGTTGAGTTGGAGGGAGGAGATGCCAAAGTGTTGTCTTAAAAAAGAGAAACTCCTGGGGATATGGACTGACAATGCCTCTGTTATGACATTGATTAACAATGGGGTCCATAAAGTGCTGAAGGAGGAGTATGGCCTCAAAGATCTGGTTCTTATTTGCTGTGTGTGCCACTCTCTGCAGCTTGCTGTAAGTCATGCTTCCAATGACACCATCCACCGTAGTGTGGAGTACTTGGTACGAGAGACTTATAACTGGTTTTCAGTGTCTCCAAAGCGCAGGGAGCCATATATGAGACCATCAACTGTGGGGAGAAACCTTTACAGATAACCAAGGTGTGTGCCACACATTGGCTCTCCATTGAACCCGCGGTTTCACGCATTTTGGACCAGTGGGAGGAGCTTAGGCTGCATTTCGCAGTCACCAAGTCCAGTGAACACTGCTACATGGCTGAGGTTTTATACTCCATGTACAGTGATCCTCAAAACATATTGTATCTGACTTTTTTGAAGTCAGTGCTGGGTGAGGTACAGTTGGCCATCAAGGCTTTTGAGGGAGAGCAAGTAGATCCTCTTAAGCTACTTGACAGCTTGGTTAGCCTGATCAAGTCTGTGAGCAGCAGGGTCCTGAATCCACTGGCAAATGTTGATGTACCCAATAGATGGATACATCAGTCCCAAACCGTACAATGTCCGAAAGCGGTGTGTAGCCTTCACCATCTCCCTCACTAATGAGTTGAGGGTGAGACTGCCGGACAACATCGAAGCATTGCAGTACATATCAGTTTTCAATGTGGAGGAAACTCTAAACCACAATAAGAGCCCTGAAGAAATATAAAAAAATAGCCAAGCTACTTGGCTACTCCCCTGCAGAGATAGACAAGATTGTACAGCAATGGCGTGCCATCCATCTTAGTAAATGGAATGAGACAAAAAACACACTGGGCTTCTAGAGTGAGATTTGGAAGTTCAGGGATGCAGCTGATATCAACGCGTTTCAAGAACTTGCCATGGCTGCTGTGTCTGTGTTGTCCTTGCCACACTTGAATGCGGAAGTCGAGAGAGTATTCAGCCAGATGAGTGTGGTAAAAAGCAAACTTAGAAATCGGATGTCCTCGCAGACCCTTAACTCCATCCTGTACATTCGATATGGACTGAAGCTGTCTGGTGAGGCTTGCTATGAGCACCAGCTGCCTGATAATGTTTTGCAGCTTTTTGGCACATCAGCTGCTTACTCATTTAAGTCTGCTCCCTCAGTTGCTGAACCTGCCATAGAGAGCCTTGACCAAAATGACGATGACCCACTATTTCTGAGAGCCAGCACAGCCTGTGTGTGTGTGGAGGGGGGTCTGAAAAAAACAAACAATTAACCTGAATTAAGGCCAGAGTAGTTACCATCATTTTCTCACATTGCCATTGATAGTTTTTTCTATTGTCTCTTTTTGGTCCATTTAGATTGTTAATGTAGATTGTATACACTTTTTTTTTTTATGTTATGGTTCAAATGTTAATGTTTTACTGTGACTTGTCGTAGGCTCCTAAGTGTACCATAGGGTTAAAAACCAAACCAAACTTAAGAAAACTAAACACACACACAAAAAAAAAGATAATAACAGTGTCTCTTTTGGGACATTTTTGCCAGTCCCAAGCCAGGATAAAGGAGGAGGGTTGGAATTGTGACATAAAAAAAAAAAAAGAATCGACAGAAGAAAGTTCATTTGTAGTTCTAAACATATTTAGGGTGTTTTTTACTCACTTTTTGTCTCCCCCACGACGTTATTCCTCTCTCCTACAGCATCCATCACAATTACATGCACATGGTCAATTATGCAAATCATTTAGTAACTTCTAGCAACTTTTAGGACAGCTAAGAGCTACTTTCCTTACTGAGGGTTTGGCAACACTAGCTAAACAGATAGCTAGCTATCATCTAACCTAGTAAATATATGTCTTGAAAGCTGACCGCTTGTTGTACATGGATGCTAGATAGCTAAATATGATTTACTGGCAACCTTGATGTGGCAAATTAAACGTTAGTTGCATCATGTCGATATGCCCAAACGACAGCGTTTGCCAGCTAAAAAGCGCTACTTCATTCCTTGTGAATGTGGCACCGGCGTCCTCTAAATTCCGCCCATGCCTCCTCCGTGTTCAGTCTGAAAAGACAGCGTGATTGACAAAACTCAATAAATGTGGATGTGCTTGGTACCGACAGTTACTTTGTAGTGTGTCCATTCGTTGGATTTACAGATCAGTGATTTTTTTGCTCAATTTGTGTAACACATGGCGGGGAGGAGCGTTCTATTTCTGACCAAAGTAGTGAAACTACGATAAGGATATATTACAATCTTTGTTTTCTTTATGATACACATTATTATGAGAGCATTTGAAGATTCAGCTGTATGAAAATATAACTACATTTGTAGATGTGGGTCCATGATTTATTCGGCATAATTGCCGAGTGAACATAAATCCAGGATTCGAATTCAATGTTGAATGATGCTGTAATTGACTACATTTCCTTATCAAGATTCAAGTTGCATCATGGGAAAGCGCGATGTTCAAATCCACTTCCTGTCTTTGCTGGTGTTATTTTTTTTCCAGTAATGGAGGAACGAAACAGGTACAAATCTAGTACAATTTCTTACCTATTGTTAATTCATGTTGATAGACAGCTATGTTATCGACGTTAGCATATAGAATTATTGCTAACTAAGCTGTTGGTCAGTGAGGAAAACGGGGTCGTATCAAAACAGCGTCTGCTTAGCCAAAGCAAAGCTTGCCAGCTAGCGTTAGCAACCCTTTTTTGACAAAGAACAAGGCCATGCTAGTTAGTATGTGGAAAAGGGGATAGAGAGCAATAGTACTAGCGTATTTTTGTAGACACTAACTCCGCCATGGCTCGTTGGCCAAAGCCTATGGGGAAATGACTGGGGTTGTTGTAGCTAGTGTTTTTGGATGAACGCCCAAAATGTCGGTGGTAAACAGGCTTAGAAACTCATGTTAAAATCCAAATGTTATTCGTCACATGCTTCGTAAACAACAGGTGTAGAGACTAACAGCAAAATCGATAAAATAATATAAATGTAAAACGCGTAACGTTAATAATAACAGTAATAATACACAATGAGTAACGATAACTTGGCTATTTACACGGGGTACCAGTACCGGGTCTGTACTGTACACTGTTTTAACCGGCGTTATCACAGTTGCAGCCAACAGTATTTTTCAGTGAAATGTTTCTGGCGGACTTCTTCCATTACACACAGGTGTTCAGAACATGCGCATGCTAGATGGCTAATTAGCACAGGTGGTCCCTCCGCCTTGATACACACAAAATAACATGGAGATATGGTGTGTGGGAACACTAACACTATAAAGGTGTGTATCAATTTAAGGTTTTGTTTTTTGAAAAATATTTATCGCTGATATGAAAGATAAGGTCCTATTGGTTCCAAAACCGTGCCACAAGTGATGCATGTTAATGTTCAGACCGAGCAACGGGCTCTTAACAAAACTCCCCCATAAAGAAGACACCTTTGTCCAATGACTCTTATGTGTAATTTTAATTGAACTGTCATGATTAAGAGCTAGGGTACGAGGTAGAGATGTACATATAACTTTGAATAAATTAACATATAAACAGTAGCAGCAGCATATGTGACGAGTCAAAGTTAGTGCAAAAAGTGTCAATGCACATAGTCCAGGTAGCTATTTGGTTAACTATTTAATTATTTAGCAGTCTTATGGCTTGGGGGTAGAAGCTGTTCAGGGTCCTGTTGATTCCAGACTTGACGCATTGGTGCCGTGCGGGGTGCGGTAGCAGAGGGAACATTCTATGACTTGGGTGGCTGGAGTTTATGACAATTTAAGGCCTTCCTCCGAAACCGCCTGGTATAGAGGTCCTGGATGGCAGGGAGCTCGGCCCCAGTGATGTATTGGGCTGTATGTACTACCCTCTAACAGTTGCGTACCAAGCGGTGATGCAGCCCATCAAGGTGCTCTCAACAGTGCAGCTGTATAACTTTGAGGGCCCATGCCTCTTCCCTATAGGCTGTCTCATCGTTGTCAGTGTTCAGGCCTACCACCGTTATGTCATCTCAAATTAAATGTTATTGGTCACATACACATATTTAGCAGATGTTATTGCGGGTGTAGCGAAATGCTTGTGTTCCTAGCTCCAACAGTGCAGTAGTATCTAACAATTCACAACAATACACACATCTAAAAGAATGGAATTAAGAAATATATATAAATATTAGAACGAGCAATGTCGGAGTGGCATTGACAAAAATACAGTAGAATAGAATACAGTATATGCATGCATTTTATTTGCCACATGTGCCAAATACACACAGCAGGTGTAGACCTTAGAGTGAAATGCTTACTTACTTACCACCTGGGGGCGGTCCATCTACATATGAAATGAGTAAAGCAGTATGTAAACATTTATTAAAGTGACCAGTGATTCCATGTCTATCTATATAGGGCAGCAGCCTCTAAGGTGCAGGGTTGAGTAACCGGGTGGTAGCCGGCTAGTGATGACTATTTAACAGTCTGATGGCCTTGCGATAGAAGCTGTTTTTCAGTCTCTGGGTCCCAGCTTTGATGCACCTGTACTGACCTCGCCTTCTGGATAGTAGCGGGGTGAACAGGCCGTGGCTCGGGTGGTTGAAGTCCTTGATGATCTTTTTGGCCTTCCTGTGACATCAGGTGCTGTAGGTGTCCTGGAGGGCAGGCAGTGTGCCCCCGGTGATGCGTTGGGCATACCGCACCACCCTTTGGAGAGCCCTGCAGTTGCGGGCGGTGCAGTTGCCGTACCAGGCGGTCATACAGCCCGACAACATGCTCTCAATTGTGCATCTGTAAAAGTTTGTGAGGGTCTTAGGGGCCAAGCCAAATTTCTTCAGCCTCCTGAGGTTGGAGAGGCGCTGTAGCTCCTTCTTCACCACACTGTCTGTGTGGGTGGACCATTTCAGATTGTCAGTGATGTGTACGCCGAGGAACTTCAAGCTTTTCACCTTCTCCACTGCGGTCCCGTCGATGTGGATAGGGGCGTGCTCCCTCTGCTGTTTCCTGAAGTTCACGATCAGCGCCTTCGTTTTGTTGATGTTGAGTGAGAGGTTATTTACCTGGCACCACTCCGCCAGGGCCCTCACTTCCTCCCTGTAGGCTGTCTCATCATTGTTGGTAATCAGGCCTACTACTGTTGTCGTCTGCAAACTTGATGATTGAGTTGGAGGCGTGCGTGGCCACGCAGTCATGGGTGAACAGGGAGTACAGGAGGGCGCTGAGCACGCACCCTTGTGGAGCCCCTGTGTTGAGGATCAGCAAAGTGGAGGTGTTATTTCCTACCTTCACCACCTGGGGGCGGCCTGTCAGGAAGTTCAGGACCCAGTTGTACAGGGCGGGGTTCAGACCTAGGGCCCGAGCTTAATGATGAGCTTGGAGGGTACTATGGTGTTGAAGGCTGAGCTATAGTCAATGAACAGCATTCATAGATGGGTATTCCTCTTGTCCAGATGGGATAGGGCAGTGTGCAGTGCGATGGCGATTGCATCGTCTGTAGATCTATTTGGGCGGTATGCACATTTTAAGTGGGTCTAGGGTGTCAGGTAAGGTGGAGGTGATATGATCCTTAACTAGCCTCTCAAAGCACTTCATGATGACAGAAGTGAGTGCTACGGGGTGATAGTCATTTAGTTCAGTTACCTTTGCTTTCTTGGGTACAGGAACAATGGTGGACATCTTGAAGCAAGTGGGGACAGCAGACTGGTATAGGGAGAGATTTAATATGTCCGTAAACACTCCAGCCAGCTGGTCTGCGCATGCTCTGAGGACGCGGCTAGGAATGCCATCTGGGCCGGCAGCCTTGTGAGGGTTAACACGTTTAAATGTCTTACTCATGTCGGCCACGGAGAATGAGAGCCCACAGTCCTTGGGAGCGGGCCTCGTCGGTGGCACTGTGTTATCCTCAAAGCGGGCGAAGGAGGTGTTTAGCTTGTCCGGGAGCAAGACGTCGGTGTCCGCGACGTGGCTGGTTCTCCCTTTGTAATCCGTGATTGCCTGTAGACCCTGCCACATACGTCTCGTGTCTGAGCCTTTGAACTGCGACTCCACTTTGTCTCTGTACCGACGTTTTTCCTGTTTGATTGCCTTACGGAGGGAATAAATACACTGTTTGTATTCAACCATATTCCCAGTCACCTTGCCATGGTTAAATATAGTGGTTCTCGCTTTCAGTTTTGCGCGAATGCTGCCATCTATCCACAGTTTCTGTTTTGGGTAGGTTTTAATAGTCACAGTGGGAACAACATCCCCTATACACTTCCTGATGAACTCAGTCACCGTGTCCGTGTATACATCAATGTTATTCTCAGAGGCTACCCAGAACGTGGCATCCCAGAAGGGGGAGTAACAGTGGTCGAGCGTTTTTTCAGCGCGAGTACTACAGTCGTGGTCAAAAGTTTTGAGTAGTATTGGTTTTCACAACGTTCGCTGCTTGAGTGTTATGAGATATTTTTGTCAGATGTTACTATGGTATACTGAAGTATAATTACAAGCATTCCATAAGTGTCAAAGGCTTTTATTGACAATTACATTAAGTTTATGCAAAGAGTCAATATTTGTAGTGTTGACCCTTCTTTTTCAAGACCTCTGCAATCCGCCCTGGCATGCTGTCAATTAACTTCTGGGATGATCGTGTTGGTGTGAGCCATGATGACCAACATTTCAAAGCATTTCATGGCTACAGATGTAAGTGCTATGGGGCGTTTGTCATTTAGATAGGTTACTTTGGCATTCTTGGGCACAGGGACTATGGTGGTCTGCTTGAAACATGTAGGTATTACAGACTGGGTCAGGGAGAGGTTGAAAATGTCAATGAAGACACTTGCCTGCTGGTCAGCGCATGCTCTGAGTATGCATCCTGCTAATCCATCTGGCCCTGCGGCCTTGTGAATGTTAACCTGTTTAAAGGTCTTACTCACATCAGCTATGGAGAGCATGATCACACAGGCTCTCATGCATGGTTCAGTGTTGCTTGCCTCGAAGCGAGCGTCACTGGGCAGCTCGCGGCTGGGTTTCCCTTTGTAATCAGTGATAGTTTGCAAACTCTGCCACATCTGACGAGTGTCAAAGCCAGTGTAGTAGGATTCGCTCTTAGTCCTGTATTGACTAGGGGTGTAACGATCCATCTACTACATCGATGTATCGATTTATATTCCTATGATCCAACTACATCGATCTGTGCTCGGCGAGTTGGCCTTTTGGACAACATATATCAATCTAACATCGTTTTAAAATGTAATAAATCGATTGTATCGATACTAGGAAATAACCCATTGGATTTAAGCACGTCAGACTTTATATGGATGTTTTTTCTTAGCACTTTTAATGATAAAGGCTTTAAACATTACTAGATTCAGTCTGCCTATCCGTGATGTCATCGCCCTGCGCCAGCAGCAGCGCAAAGGCGCAAAGACATCAAAACATAGCATGGCGGACGACAGAGGAGAAGCCGACGAGCGAGAAATTATCAAGCCACCATTGCGGTCCTTACAAGAAACAGGAATCTAGGAAATTTCACCTGCACTGTTCAGTATCCAGGTATTTATTTCAGTCACACTGGTTGAATTTTTGGCTAAAAGGTTACTGAATCGATTTCAAGTCACTGAATCGTTTCGGATCGTATTGTTCTAAATGAACCAATATCGTCCTTGAATCGTATCGACAACCACGAATCGTGATACAAATCGAATCGTTGTTAAAACGAATCGTTACACCCCTAGTATTGACGCTTTGCCTGTTTGATGGTTTGTCGGAGGGCGTAACATTTTGTTCTATTTGTTCATCAGCTAACGCAATTTCTGTGAATTCTGAATAATTAGATTATGTAATCAAAACAAGCAGATAAAGGCTTCATTTTCATAAAGGTAATGTTAACTGAATGATATCTCAAAGAACAAAATGTTTAATCTCTCCTAAACCTGTGTTAACCTCAGACCTTATTTTCGGCGTTTATCCCAAAACCCATTCTTTCTCCCATAGGAATGGCCAACGAACCAGAGGTAACTAATTTCTGTTTTTTAGGACTACAATCTGGCAAGCTCTATTAATGTAATTTGATCCAATGAATGGTACCATCAAATTAAAATGGTTACAATGTTTTACTTGAAAATGTGAATGTTTTTGGTTTTCATTTTTGTTTTGGTGGCATAGATTTTTTATTAAGATGTCATTGAGATTTCTAAACTGCCCCTGAAGTTATCTGCATTTCATCAACAAGTCATCCATTATTTTTGATAACGTACTTGGCAACCATTATTGGAAACAAATATATTAACATAACCTCACTCCGTGTACTACTCCAATTTGGAACAATAGATGCATACTAATTTAAGAGAAAATCCTTCTTTTACAATGAGTGGATGGAGAAAGGTATCTGGTCTATTCAACATTTTAATGGATGATAATGGAAATATTCTATTGCATAACAATTTCATTTTTAAAAAATGATCTTGTTTGCACCAATATACTACAGTGGTTAAGGCAATTCCACAAGCAATGATTATTTTAGTCAAAGGAATGTAGACTTATTCTGCTGCAGTACCACATATAGCGAACTGCCAAAATAAAGGAAACACTGTCTTAATAGGGCGTTGGGCCACCACGAGCCTCCAGAACAGCTTAAATGTGGCTTGGCATAGATTCTACAAGTGTCTGGAACTCTATTGGAGGGATGTGACACCATTCTTCCATTAATTTGGTGTTTTGTTGGTGGTGGAGGAAAACGCTGTCTCAAGAATCTCCCAAAGTGTTCAATTAGGTTGATCTGGTGACTGAGACGGCCATGGTATATGGTTTAAATTGTTTTAATGCTCATCAAACCATTGTCACCACTCGTGCCCTGTGGATGGGTGCATTGTCATCCTATGGGGGAGTAGCCACGGAGCCAAAATAATGGCCTGCCCACACAGATTATCCATTATATTGACCAGATACTCAAGTGGCCACTCTCACAATTGAAAGACATTTCTTAAAAAATTGAAGGCAGTCGGGAGGAGGCAAGATCAGGTGGGACAATTCTAGCCAATGAGGGCAGATGTGTGTGTGAACAGGCACAACTCAGATATCACGTGTCCTACTTATCAGTACACTCGTAACAACCTAAGCATTACTAAACTTCTATCAAATAAGCCATACATTTTGTTGACCAAATTCGACACTCATTGATTCCTTGCTTGGTGAGTGAAAAAAATGAAAACCACCACCTGCTGAAGATAACTGGGCCCAAAATCAGTCTTCTATCTCGCTTCACCTCTTCCCAGCATTTTTATACATGACCCTAAGCATGATGGGACGTTAACTGCTTAATTAACTCAGGAACCACACCTGTGTGGAAGCACCTGCTTTCAATACACTTTGTATCCCTCATTTACTCAAGTGAATCCATTATTTTGGCAGTTACCTGTATGTTTTCATTAGTTATATTCTTAAGAACTACTTTTACTACAGAGTTTCCATTCACCTTTGAAAGGGAAATATGTTAGATTTCACTAGAAGTTCTATAGTCAAAATAAGAACCAGATGCCTTTCTTTTCCTTTAACACCTAAAGCATGGTTTCCCAAACTCGGTCCTGGGGCCCACTCTGGGTGCACGTTTTGGTTTTTGCCCTAGTACTACACAGCTGATTCAAATAATTAAAGCTTGATGATGAGTTGGTTATTTTAATCAGCTGTGCAGTGCTAGGGCAAAAAACAATGTGCACCCAGGGTGGTCCCCAAGACAGAGTTTTGGAAACCCTGACCTAAACCTAAAGAAGTTCATCTCAAAACAATGAATGACGTTTACCCATGTAGGCCTAATGATTTCTTCAGAAGATTTAACTTTGACCATTGTGTGTTTTGTAACTCAGATATTGAAAGGCAGAGCATCTTTGTCACATATCAACCTACTAAAACATGTTGGGATGCATTTCAGTACTGATCTAATAATGATCAAAATTATTCGTACCCACTTTAACATTTAATAATATCATACATTTTTTATGGAGGACAGGAAAGCCGAATGTATGAACAATTGTTTTTTTTTTAACTGCCCCTTTTCTTTTTAGCAGGCCAATCATAAGTTGTAGGCCTATTTTGTCAGGATCTAGTCCAGTGTTAAGATAGGCCGACTATAGGAAAATATGGGCTTCTCCTTCGAACTCCCTGCCAGTTAATGCTGTAGCCTATTTTACATTCAGCAAGCAAGAGCAAGCCTACATCTCTCCTCAAATAGGCTATTAGTAGGCTAAAGAAACGAATCCGAAATAAGTGTCCAACAACCTTTTGTAGTTTTTTCCTTGTACTCCACAAGATTGAAAAGGAATAGTAGTGGCAGCGAAGAGACCAGGTGCGTAATTGCGCAACAGAACAATGAAGACAGCAGGCTCGAGATGTAACACATATGCATATTAGCCCATAATTCATCAGCTCAATGTTAGGCTTAATACTGCAGTGAGTATATCCAGTCAATTAACACAGCGAAAAAAAAAAGTTGATCAGATAATGAAATCATAGGTAGCCTACACTGTGTGCGCTCCCTCCCAGTCCCCGGGTACTCAGTAGACAAATAAGATATCCTCATGATCTGTGGAGTCCTGGCTTTCGGTGTGTATCAACGTATTCCGTGTTTATTTCGTTTATGCGTCACAACGCTAACCGGAATGTAGGTAGCAGCCATCTTGAAATTAGGTCATCGGCTCGGCCTGCCCTTATAAATTCGTATGCCCATATATGGTAGTAAGTCACACCAAAGATTTGAAGGCACCGATCAATAGTCAAGATACTCCGCTTTCTGCAGATAGGTGCTACAGTTCTCATACCAGACTGAATTTAATTTAAACAAAATCGAATAGGTATGGGGACTTTACATTTTAAGAGGTTTTAAACAAGGTAAAGTTAAATAAACAATTGTTCAAATTGGTTAAATCCAAACAAGCCCTTGAGGTTTATAATAATCTCTGTAATTTGATTCCTAAATAGACCATCCTGTGTTTTTATTATTTATTGAAATAAATAATGCCTGTTTGATTTTTGAATGTCTGAATAATAATAAAAGAATCTAGCTAGTTTGTGACACATTTCTACTTTTCATCATTTCAGCTTGCCTAGTTTTATTAACATTGTATGCTTGGTGTAAAATAAGAATACAATGTTTCACTAGCTATCCTAACGTGATAATCTGTTCTTTACAGCACTGAGAAGACCCCACTCAACAATGTCTTGGCACAACGAAGGAGCAAGAGTTACAGGCGATCAATGCGAAGCTGTGTTGAAGCAACTCATCTGGCATACACATCAGGCCATCTGACAGCTCTAAGAATACCAAGAAGTAGAAGTGCTCCAAAGTCACGTGATATCACAGTAAGTAGCTAAGGCCAATCAATGTGGTTGTATTCATAATTGTTCTACATTGTTGACAAATCGACTAATCTGTAGGCTTGATCTGTAGCCCTGCTTCAGATATTCTCATCAGACATTATCATTTGAGTGTAATATTTTGATTTTGAATATTCTGATGCATGTCTCTTTGCTGTCTAGAAACAGGTTGACCCAGACCAAGTAGCACTTCTGGTGAAGAAGGAATGGCAGCTGTCGTATGTCACACCTTTGTACCAGTTTAGACACACTCAGTTGAAACCCTACTCAAAGCAACTATCAGCTTTCATCGTATCAGAGAAGCAACAGGGCCTGGCGATTGAAGTTGGTCAGGAGTTGGGCTTCAAGGTCAATTTTTCTGTGGTCCTTGGGTTGGCAGAGACAGATAAAGATGCTGAGACGGTTTTCATACAGGTAAGGGTTTTTCCTCTAAATGTAGTTTGCAGTTCATACTTTATTCTTCTGTGGAATCCCTTGACTGTGGTGTTCAATGCCATCTGTTGTTCTCATCATCACAGATTCTCTCCAAACAAGCGTTTGCTGCAAAAGATGATGCTCAGAAGGTTGTGTGGAGTGGCTGGCTGACCTGCGTCAACGGTGACTTGGATTATCTCCGATCACTACCCCCGGAATTTGTCAGTTTGCCTTTGCTCTGCACCAGAGGACCAGAATCGCTCACAGTGTTGGTCAAATCCTGGTTTGAAAAGACATTTGACTGTTGCTTCGGCCCTCTTGGTATCAACTCTACCAACCTCCAGTGGCTCGCATCACTATGGACTGGGTGCCACCCCACCATCAACATCCAGTACCTGAAACTGGTCTGGACTCTCCCAACACTACCCCCTATGGACGTTACCTACACCGTCGACCCACAAGATGCCTGGGAGCTTTGGGACAGCGTGCGGCAGGTTGACACTACAGAGGACAGCATCAGCATCGATGAGGTCACCATGTTCATCAAAGGGCTGCAGTCACACTTCTTCAGGCACTTCAGGATAGACTTGTCTGCTGGGTCACTGATGCAGATCTCCACGGCTTTGGGTTCTTCTCACCATAGTGGAAAAATCAAGGTAGATATGCACACATCTGGAAAGGCCAACATATCTATATCTAGACTAAACGCAAGTGACTGGCTATTTGTAACATGTAACTTGCATTTCAAATGGGCTTAGCCACACACTTAAAGGTGAACAATTATAATTAAACAGTATGTTTAACTTGTGAATGGATTTCCAACTAACCCTTTTGTAGCTGACATTTGTAGTTTGAAATAGGAAGTAGTATCTGTTATCTAACTACTCATTTTCCTTCACAGATTGCAAGCCCTAATTACATCCCCACCATCCTGCAACTGCTGACTGAATGTGCTCTCCTGAAGATGCCCATCTAAGCAGACTGTCTTTGACATCACAAATCAACTTTTGTGTCGTTTGTAAAATACCTGTATACCCCAAAATTACTGTCCATATGAAATTAAACCTTGACACTTTTTTTTATTCATGTAAATATAAGTACCTGTATTGTATGAACAGGCAAATGCATACATTTGAAAATAGCCACGCTTTTGCTTATTGTGTACCTTGTCATTATTCTGTGGTTTCAGTCACTATTCAGTCAGTATTCACTACAAGCGCAATAGTGTAGAAGTAAATGTGTTACAGCTTAACCCTTCAAATGTTGGTTCTGTCAGTGTGGTGATAGTTGATTAATCAGGTTTGATATATGGTAAATCGTCAAGTAACTTGGGCAGTTCTCCTGAAGATATCATTGTTTCAGTCCAGATACACAGTAATTGGCTAACTGTAAGAAAGCCTGGTGTCCCAGAGAACTAGCCTAGTGATTTCCTAAACGGTAGAGAGAGTGATGTAACAATCTAAAAGAACAGTCCCTGTAAATACATTTCCATCTTCAAAATTATTTTTTATGAGCTTAAAGTTTGAAATAAAAAAATTGTTTTTATTAACAGCATGGGGTATTTTGTCAGTACAGACAATTCCACATTGTCTAATAGGGGTAAAATGCCAGTCTGGTATGTCAAGGCTTACAGCTCATACAGAGAAATCTCAGACCTTCAGCAGAAATAAAGCACCCATACGTTTGCTACCAAAACGCTTCCATACTTGTGTGAAAGGTTGGGTTTACAGCGGCAGCCCAATTTGATATTTTTTCCACTTATTGTTCTTTTGACCAATCACATTAGAGCTTTTCACATTTTCAGAGCTGACCTGATTGGTCAAAAGACCAATTAGTAGAAAAAAATTACCCGAATTGGGCTGACTGAACACAGCCAAAGGGACGTGTTCTTTTTCAAAATGATTGGTGATTAGGCTAATTACTTCCGAACACTTGCAGAATCTGACACATTTGGGTGATAACATATCCACAGGGGTTGAGTTTCAGCAAAACGCATGATCGTATATTATTTCGCTCAATAACAGTGACAAATGGTAACATGAGATACATCAGGATTTACAGACATTATTTAAAAAATATATATTGTTTAATAAAGCATATTACTGAATGTCCATCTATGTTTTGCATGGTTACCAATGAAGAGGTTAAACGCATACTACATCAACCAGTTCATTATTCCTTACTGTGTGTTAGATTACCCAAAATGCAACTCATTCCTCAAGAAGAATCTATAATAGATTAAAGTGCAAGACTGTCTCAGAAATGTGTCCTATAATGTAAAAAGAGTTGCTCCTAAAAAATAATATCCACTGTCACACAGTCTTAAATGGGCAACAATCTTGTATGAAACAGTTGTTATAATATTGTGTAAGCACCACCGTACCAATATCTTAGTGAACCAACAATTGACCCCAGTTGTGAACGTAGAACTCCAGGTTATGCTCAGTGTGTCAAACTAATAAAAACAGCAACAAAAAAAACAATCTAAAATAATAATCACAGTGCATTCAATTTAGAGATTCAAACAACTGCCTAACAAGTTCATCCACTTTTCACAACGAGGATCAGGAGAAGCAGTGAGACCACATCCTGCACCTTCAGCTCTCTTTGAAGATTCTTCTTCATGCCCCATTTAATATTTCAATGGAAACTAAACATTGGTATAGTATAACACAGCAAAAGTCTCAACTGTCTCTTAAAGTGCAGCTGCAGCATTCCATTTCAGTAACCGAAAAAGGGGAAATGAAGTGTTTGCCTCCATGATGTCATAAACAATAGTTCCTCGTGATTGATCTATTCAGAGTTGGTTCCTCTTGGCCTTGGCCAGTCAAGTCATAATTCAGGAAGTACAGAAGAGAGAGATGAACCGTAGGCTCCTAGAATAGAAGCCTTCCAGACTTGACACAGGAACAATAAAGCTTGTAGTCACTCAAGACATTTCATTGGCTTGCCAATAACATGGCTGTGGATGAGTTACAGTTAATATTGTCTTCCTTCGTTCCTTGCATGATAAACAATGTTTATTTCGGAGGCACAAGCGACAGTGAGGCCTTTGACCTGGAGGTGTTACCATATGTGGGATTCACAGTGAGTCATTTTGATAACACCAACCCCTCCTCCAAGTCGCCTATAGTTCATTCCACCGTAGAGCCTGGAGGGAGAGAAGGAAATTAATATCTTCATGTTCAACACAAGCCCTCTAGGCTTGTGGTCCTCTGTAGCTCAGCTGGTAGAGCACGGCGCATATAACGCCAGGTAGTGGGTTCGATCCCCGGGACCACCCATACACAAAAAAAATGTATGCACGAATGACTGTAAGTCGCTTTGGATAAAAGCGTCTGCTAAATGGCATATTATTATTATTATTATTATTATTATTATTATTATTATAATATGTCTCAAGTAACCTGTTGCATGCGGTCACCTACCTCCATGTGTTAGCGTCAGGATCATAGACCTCTATTGTTTTAAGATACGTTGTCCCGTCAAAGCCACCCACAGCCATTAACTGGCCATTTACCACCGCTAGTCCAACCTGCAAGACAAACAATGCTCCAAACATCAACAGGTGAAAAGCAACAGATGATTTCCCTATTGCTCCACATTTCATCTAATTAATCCCAACAACATTTACTAAATTACCTGATTTGATTGAAAAGTCCAACACTTCGCCTCCTTATCCTAAAATAAAGCACCAAAACCAAACAGAAATCAATGTGAAAGATGCAGACTGACCCCACTACGTCTTGAAGTCATGGCTACAACAGGTGACCACTGGTTGGTCCTGGGGTTGTAGCGCTCGGCGCTGCTCAGCTCGGTGGTGTCGTCCCGGCCTCCTACGGAGTAGATCATGTCCTGGTACACTGCACAGCCTAGGTGTTTCCTCCTGGTGCCCATGGGAGAGACGGTGTGCCAGCGGTTCTCCTGGGGGTTGTACCTCTCCACTGTGGTAAGATTAGAGCAGAGGCAGAGCAGACAGAGTAAGAAATGGGGTTAGAGCAGGGTCATATTCATTAGTGTACACTATAACAAAGTGTAGCAAGATAACAAAAACAAGTGTTTCTTATTGGACAAGTTCAGATAGTCTCTCCCTGTTTCAGTCCGTTTTCATCCATTTGGTGCCTAATGAATACAACCCAGATCTCTAGGGAACTATAGGGACATTTATGTGATCTCTTTTCCTAGGATCTCTGGAGCTTCTACTGTGATTTATCTGTATAAATAAAGAAATTAGTTTACACCCTGTTAGTGACGTGCTGAGTAATGAAAGATATTGTACTGTTTTCTAAGTACTTCATCTGTACCGGTATTGAGAGGGGATGTGCCGTCTGAACCTCCCACTGCATAGAGGAAGCCCCCCAGTACAGCCACGGCTACACCCAGGCGCCTGGTGCTCATCGAGGCCACACGCGTCCATTTGTTCTCCTTGGGGTCATATCTGTTACAGATCATACAGTCACATTACTCAGTGGAGTCAGCTTTTTGTGATATTTCAGGAGGCATGTAAATTGTTTGTTATAATACTTTTAGTATTGCAAGATGAAATGTCTTTGCCTCAGCATGATAGAAAACGGTGTGATTTATAGAAGACAAATACAGTAAATTAAACAATGAATATGTATGATATAGTGTGACCTTTCAACAATGTTGAGACAGGATACTCCATCTTGGCCCCCTACTGCGTACAGATACCCTCCCAGGACAGCCACACCCACACTGGTCCTGCACGTGCTGGTGGGTGCTACATCACTACTCCACTGATTTGTCTTGGGGTCATACCTGTTGTGGAGAGTGAGTTCAGTACAGTACACTAAGATAAGGAAGTTAAACAATGGAAGGAAGACCAGCCTTTTGATAAGATCTGGGGTGCTTCCCAATATTCCCTATATAGTGCACTACTTTGACCAGAGCCCTGTGGACCCTGGTCATAAGTAGTGCAATATATTCAGGACAGAGTGCCATTTGGGACAAGGCCCTATAAAAACAGGGAAGGAAATGCTAACCTCTCCACACTGTTGAGATACGAGGACCCGTCATGGCCGCCGACAGCATAGAGAAGATCGTCAAGGACGCTGACACCCACTCCACAGCGCCTCTTACTCATGGAAGCTACCATGCGCCACTCGTTGGTCTGTGGGTCGTATCGCTCCACACTGGAGATGGCATCCCCACTACACCACCCTCCAACTGGGAATATGACAGAATAAAATTAAAAAACTCAACTTGGTAGAACTTTGTTTCTTCTAACCCTACCCTTTGGAATATTTGGGATATTCAATGGCCAACATGTTGGCCAAAGTAGGCATGACTGTCATTTTGAAATACCTTTGAAAGCAGACGTGATCAGACATGGGTACCAAGAGAATGCAGCGAGGTTCAACAGTTTTAAGATACTAACCTGCAAAGAGTACTTCACCACACCGGATGGGCTTCCGAGGGCGTGTTCTTGGCCCTTGCATTAGAGGGCGCTCTTGGGGCAAGAGCAGGTAATTCTTTGCCTCATCAACGAGGTCTCTGCACTCCTCATCACTTTTGATGAGAGGGTCTGATCCTACCGTTCCCACCAGAAATTTGGGGCTCAGAAGAGGAAGACGAACATGCTGGAGGACCTATAACCAGAAAATATCTCCTGAATCAATGACTTACCAGGTGGAATAAGTTACACACAAACACTTTCAATTTTAAAACAGACTGTCCTTAGTGTTACATTTCTTTTGTTTATACAGCAGGCATTATCACCTGTGGCAGCTGTGGCCGGCGCTCCTGAATGCTGTACTTGACCCAGGCCATGACTGCATTGAAAACCTGCTCTTCACTTCGCACATTCAGTTCGTCACTGGAGATTATATCTATTAGCTGGTTGGCTGGAAGCAGCATGAACTCCTCACTCTCCATCACCTGAAGGCAAAGCAAGCAAAATTACTTGAGGCACACTTTCATCAGGTGAAACCTGTTCAAAGTCCACAAAAAGACAGGGGCTGTGTTCAAGAGAATGATGCACGGTAAGGCAGTCAAGTTAAACCAGCAGCAGCATCTAATTCACATTTTAAAATTCTGAAAGTTCCGTGGCAGTTATTTCCTGAGGATACAAATAACATGGGGGTTTAACTTTGTGGAAATCCTAAAACTGTGTGTAAAGAAAACGTAAGACAATGTAGAAAAGGTATTAACTTTATTGCTGGGATTCACTTTTAAGGCTGTGGGGCTAAATTTACACTAAGGGACACCTCTCTCTGGTGTTCACTAACCGTAAACCAGTGTGGATTTTCAAATGAATAGCTAGACTAAGTAACTAACAGGATCCTGATAAGCAGAGAGGTAAGATAAGCAACATTATTTTCTAAATGTCAAAGAAACACTTTTTAGATTGCACCTCAGAGAGTGAGTGCACAGAGACTCACATGTATGCAAGATAAGAGACCTTACCTCTTGAAAGTTGTGCTGTGTAAACTTGTCAGCTATCCGCAGCAGCTCGCGGCAGGAGTGGGTGTCAGCAAAGGCACGGATACCCAGGCAATTGGAGGGGTCCAACTGGCGCTTGAGGAACTCGCAGCAAGCCTCCTGAATCTCAGCCAGCTGTAACAGACAAGCGGCGGGCAGCAATGTCTGCACATTGCCTTCCTCAACGGTAACCTGCGAAGTGTAGGCAAAGTCAATGAGCAGCTCCATGGCCCGCTCGTCAATGTCCCGGATCACAACCTCCGTCTGACGGCTCTCGGCCAGCTCGCCTGTGAACATGGCCCTGAAGTAAGGGCTGCAGGCCGAAAGGATCACTCTGTGGGCATAGATCTTTTTGGCGCCGACCACCAACACGACATCACACAGTTCCCTGTGCTTGCGTAGCAGATTGATGACCTCTAACGTCTGGCGAGGGTGCTTGTCGGACACGTAGGGCATGCGTGCCGGCTGGGGCACACCCTCTGGGAGCTTGTTGGGATCACCCAGTGTGCAGCGTGCGGTGATGTCCATTCCGGTGTTGTCTGGGCGTGCGCTGGTACCCCTGCAGAACAGACACATAAAGCCAGACAGAATAGGGATAAACATCCACAATTCACACTTTAACACTGATTTATCACAAAAGAACTGCCACTACAAAAATCCAATCAAGGTTAATATTTGGTCATGTCAACGTTGGTATTGGTGGGAGCCAGAGTCAAAGTTGATGTAATAATTCCTTAAGCTAAAAAGACATCAGCTATGTCTGTCTGAACTATGGAAAGTTGAGGTCTAGATGTGAAAGAACCAAGTACCAAAATAGACATCTCCTTTCAACTAGGCTATGACTTACTGGTCGTCTAGGGTGCAATCCAAGGTCTCTTCAGCTAGCATCTGTTACACCCCCCCAAGCAATTTCCTCAGCAATTCTTGTTGTCAAACAGCAATCAGCTCTTCCAATTATAGCTCAATATGCAGTAGCAACAGGAGAGTGTCTCTGATCTCCTACATAATGTGAAGGGAGCATTGGCTACTACACAGAACAAGAGAGGACTGTCTTTCAAATCTAATTTCACAGGAGGTCCACGGTACATCAATACTTACCAGGCTAAATAAGATAAACTATGATTGTTTCCTCCCCACTTTTTTCATTCTTCCCCCAAAAAGTAGATTCAATGTGGATTAACTTGTCAAACCACAAAGACTCAAATTGACCTTGAAACATTGGGCCACAGCAGTTTGGGTACTGACACAAGTGATACTGGATGCAGGCCTAGCACTCCCAGTTTCACCAACCCCAAGACACCTCACTGGGCTGGGGTCATTTCCAAGTCATAGGTGAATCATGCAGAACTCAACTCCCCTTAATTTTGATCATATTACATTATAACACATTTATACATGTTGATTTTATGATTTCCAACAAATCTAGCCCATTTAAAAAAATACAAAATGAACTACTCTCAAATTTCTGTCACTTGCAATGAAGAATGATGAACTAAACCAGGGCACAATTGTCATTGGGTGTGAAAGGACGGAAAATTACTTTTAACAGAAAAAATAATACAAAATCAAGCCACACAACAACAAAAAACGTCAGGAGGTCATCACATACCTGCGCATTTGCTTTCCGTCCATGCACAGAAAACAACTTTTGGTCTCACAACTTTTTGCCAACCTTTGTGAATAGAAAAACAGGGGAGGGATAAGTTACAATTGATTGATAGGGAGGGATGTTAGCCCACACAAGACACTACCACTGCAACACACAGAGATAAATGGCTTGGTCCGGGGCTCCTGGCAGATAGTTGACCAGCTAGCAGGCTGATACTGTACTACCACTAGTTACTGTTGATGTAGCCAGCAGATCTGACCCGCTTGCTTACAGCTGCACTAGGGTCAGACAGCCTTCCTGTATAGATTAAGACACTGCGGTGCTGGAGTGAGATATGACTCGGAAAACGTACCTCAATCCAGGGATGAGAAATGCATTGTACTCCAAGTTGTCCCATTATCCCAACTGTTACACATAGAATACTTTACAACTGCTAAAAAAAATAGCAGTAGTGCAATCTTCTCGGTGTAACAGTTGGGATAATGGGACAATTCGGAGTACAATGCATTTCTCATCCCTCGATTGGGGTACGTTTTCTGAACCATATCTCGCACTGGCTCTGCTCTGTCTTAATCTACACATGAAGGCTATCCGACCCTAGTGCAGCTGTAAGCAAGCCTGCTGGCTTCTGTTGATGCAGATGAGATTGAAATCTATCTAGCTAATTTAGCTAGCTAGCTAAACAAGCTAGACAAAACCTCAAACTAAGCTACTGAATTACTGACGATTACTAGCTAGCTAATTCATATATTTATCAAGCAGACTAGTAAAAATATAACGTTAGCTATAGAGATAAATAGTAACGTTAATGGCGTATTTTTGTAAGCACTAACTCAGTTGGACAAAGCCTATGGGGAAATGAATGGCGTTTTTGTAGTTTTTTTTGGATAAACGCCGAAAATAAGGTCTGTGGTAAACACTTAGGAAATCTTGTACGTTTTGTTCTATGAGATCATCTTCATCAGCTAACGTCACTTCATGCATTTTTAAGCATTTATGTAATAAAAAAAAGAATATAAAAGCTTCATAATTCATAAAGGTAATGTTAACTGACTGATACTAGCATCTCATATAACAAAACGTAAAATATATCCTAAGCCTGTTAACCTTAGACCTCATTTTCAGTGTTTATCCAAAACCCTATTCTTTGCCCATTCATTTTCTCCATAGGGATGGCTGAACGAACTAGAGGTAACTAATTTCCGGGTTTTAGGACTACAAACTGTCGAAGTCTATATCATAGCGGATTAAACGTTAGCATTTAGCAAGCTAGCTGGCTAGCCAATTGGAAATAAGCTAACGTTAGCTAGCCGCTTCCTGATACGTTAACGGGTTAGCTAACTAGCTAAGCACAAATATTTTCGGTAGAGAAATGCTATCGTTACTGGATCAAGAAAACCACTACCTACCTTAAACTTCCATTCGAACGTCTAGCAAAGTGTCAGATAGACAATATTTGAAATACTTTGCATGATCGCAAGCTACGCTTTTGACTTTCCATAAAATTCCAATCAACAAGAAATGTGCACTTGAGAGCAAGGTCCCCCTCAGAACGATTATTGGCTAGGGTTCCACTGGTACATCGTTCCGATGTGCCCACTGCACAAAAATAAATAAATAATGGATAACTGTTCGTGGGGAATTTTTTTTCTCGTAAACGCACTGTTTTAGCATATAAACTTTCCACACCAATGCAAATGCAAAAAAGGTAGTGATCCTTTCATTTTATTTTAGCGATTTATGTTAGCAGGAAAGGAAAAAATAGTGACCCTTCAATCCATTGAAACAATAAATATAATGTATCTATAGACATCGAAGGAGTACAAAAACATTTGGAAAATGTGTCTTTGTGGCAATGAAGAGCCACCAGAGGATTTGTTTTTGGGAAAAGGATGAGATGGGTAGAAATGCACTTTTCACTGCATGTATGTTGGAAAGATGCACCACTGTGCGGGAACTTGTCAAGCATGGAGCTCAAGTTAATGAGTTTAATTACTGAATGAGGTAGGCTAGGTGTTCCAAGTTCCAACCATCACACACACACACACACACACACACACACACACACACACACACACACACACACATTAAATAATAATCTCTAATAATACACAATTATATCAATTATATATAATACACAATTATATCATGGACAATTTGATTTTTAAACACAGGTTGTTTCCCACTGTATTGTGCGGCCCTCTGGGGCCAGCTTGAGACAGTGAAAACTTTGGTGGAACTTGTTGCCGACCTGCAGGCCAACAACTTATGTAGGGGGAGGGCCAGGGAAGTTGCCTCCCGTTGTTACAAAATGGATTGTGCAGAATATCTTACCTGTGCAGGTGAGATAGTGTGAAAGTATGAGAATGAGGCACCTGTATATGCTTGTATGTGTGTGTGTGTGTGTGTGTGTGTGTGTGTGTGTGTGTGTGTGTGTGTGTGTGTGTGTGTGAGAGAGAGAGAGAGAGAGAGAGAGAGAGAGAGAAGAGAGAAACTTCCTATCATAGCATGTGCTGCATGTAGAACATATGTACAAACACCTGCTCAGCGAAGTCGGATTGGATCCAGAATGCCAAGAACCCATCTATCCAATACTTAATTGAGCAGAGGAGGCATCTTCAGGACATTATTATCCCCATTCTGTCCAAGCTCACGACTCAACGTGAGTATGACTATTGAGAACGCCAAGGTAACCTGTCTAAATAACTACCGCCCCGTAGCACTCACATCTGTAGCCATGAAATGCTTTGAAACGCTAGTCATGGCTCACATCAACACGATCATCCCAGAAACCCTGGACCCACTCCAATTCACATACCGCCCCAGCCGAACTCCCTGCCATCCAGGACCTCTATACCAGGCAGTGTCAGAGGAAGGCCCTAAAAATTGTCAAAGACTCCAGCCACCCAAGTCATAGACTGTTCTCTCTGCTACCGCATGGCAAGCGGTACCGGATCGCTAAGTCTGGGACCAAAAGGCTCCTGAACAGCTTCTACAAGACTGCTTCTATAAGACTGCTAAACAGTTAATCACATACTACACTGACACTCCAACATACACACTACATACGCTCACACACATGCATTGACGCCAGACACACACACACACACTCACACATAGACACACTTTCACACTCTTCACATACACTGCTGCTACTCATTTTATTATATATCCTGATTGCCTAGTCAATTTTAACCTACCTAGATGTCCATACTGCATTGCCTCAATTACCTCAACTACCTTGTACCCCTGCACATTGACTCGGTATCAGTACTCCTTGTATATAGCCTCGTTATTATATTGTGTTACTATTTCCTTTTTTATTTAGAAAATATTTGTCTTACTTTTTAACTCTGCATTGTTGGGAATGGGCTTGTAAGTAAGCATTTCACGGTAAAGTGTACACCTGTTGTATTCGGCGCATGTGACCAATAAAATTTGATTTGATTTGAGTATGTATCTAATTCAAGTCTACCTCATTTTCCTATGTCCTTTTATCTACATGAGAAACACTATTTTCACACCACTTCGATACAGCTACAACTGGAAGTGACTTTTTCGTAGCAGGTCAGGAGAATTTACGCAGCAGGTTAGGAGAATTAACGCAGCAGGTTAGGAGAATTAGGTTAAGGTTAGGGAAAATGCTCTCCTAACCTGCTACGAAAATCACTTCTGGTCGTAGCTGTATCGAAGTGGCGTGAAAAGAGTGTGTCCCTTATCTACACAGCCGATTATGCATCATCTCCTTAACCTATGCTACCCACTTCTATACCACTGACTGAATATCTGTGGCATGAGAGTGATTAATTGTTATTTCTATTTGCAGCTGAAGCCACAGCTAAAGCAAGCAAAAACTGATGATATAGAATGTGTCACAATCAAATATGCTCACAAATAGTCCAGAGAAGGTCTAAAACAGTTAAACTGACCAAAGTGGAATTTGTCCATCATTGCATGTACTATCAAAATATTTGTAATAATAAAATATCAGAACCACCATCATGTATTATTTGTGCATTGTCTTTGCAAGTTAGCAGATGATGAAAATTAATATGACTGGGTTGATGA